GACCAGGCGATGTTTTGTTCTATTGTCTATAGGGTCGCTAATCAGAGCTGACTCGACAGTGCCTAACAACAACACTAAGAAGTCATGGGATGGTCATGAATAAGGAAGACCCAAGAAGAATTGCTGTATTTGAATTGTGGTGTTGGCAAAGAGTATTAAATATACCATGAACTACCAGAATGAACAAATCTGTCATGGAAGAAGAACAGCCAGAATGCTTCTTAGAAGCAAGGGTGGTGCGATTTCATCTCACCTATTTTGGACATATTATCGGGAGGGAACGAGTCCCTGGAGAAGGACGTTATGCTTGATAAAGTAGAGGGTCAGCAAAACAGAGGAAGAACCTCAACAAGATGAATTGACACAGTGGCTGCAACAGAAGGCTTGAACATAGCAACAATTGTGAGGATGGTGCGGGATCAGGCAGTGTTTCATTCTGTTGTGCACAGGGTTGTTACAAGTCAGAACCAACTGGATGGCACTCAACAACAGTCATGGTAAAACAAGTTGCTACCCAGTTACCTTCAACTCATGTCCGCCCCATGGCTGTCAAAGTAGAACTGTACTCCATAGGGTTTTTAATGGCTGATTATTTGGGGAAGTAGGTCAGCAGGACTTTCTTCAGAGGAAACCTTGGGTGGACTCAAACCACCAACCTTATGCTTAGCAACAGATCTCATTGATTGCTTGTACCAGGCTCTAGAGATAGGAGCTCTGGTAACCTAATGGGCTCTAGTGATAGGCTCTAGTAAATAGGTCATCTTAAAACGTGAAAGATACCAGCATATACCTGAATAAGAGATCAATAACTCTTTGACACATTATATAACTGTTCTTTATACAAATCTCGTGACTTCATGGGTGAAGACTCTTAGGAACTATTTCCGTTTCATGGGAGGAGAATCATTTTGAAGTGCTTCTTGGCTTTTTATAAAGGGAGGAGGAAATGAATGTGCTCCTTGATTATATTGTGATGTTCTTTTGCCTCCAAAGCTTTGGGGAGGAGGAGTTGGCCACATCTGAGGCCCCACGAGGATCCCAGGAATGTTCATGTCTGTTGAAGAATGCTTACTTCCTCTTTTCCTGATATTAGAGTCTTACTTTTAGATTTTATTAGGCTGAAATGCTTTCTTTACTATACTTTCTAGCATGTTCTTTAAATAAGTCCTTGGGTAAACAAAATGTGGCACATATATACAATGGAATACTTCTCAGCCAGTAGGAGAAATGAAGTCTTGATAATGCTACAGTATGGATGGAGCTGGAAGACATTATATTGAGTGAAAGAAGTCAGCCATAAAAGGACAAATATTATATGACCTCGCTTATGGAAAAGACAAGAAAAGGCAGATGTAAAGAGACCAAAGTTTATTATTGGTTACCAAGGGCAGAAGGGAGGAAATAAGGGGGTTAACAGTAATGGAAGAATCACATTGATTAAGGAGAGGGTTGCACATCCAATTAATGTAATTGCTGTCAATAGGTTGTACATCTGTAAAGAGTTGAATTGGCAAAAGTTGTGTGGTAGATACATTAACAACAATGACAAGGAAAAAAAAAGAGTAGCTTCTGAGGCTGCGTATGTACAACCAGGCACCTCATGAGATTTGGCTCCTTGGTTTGAGGGTTTAGGGTCATGGTTTCATGAGACATCACAGTTAATTGGCCTAAAAACATGTTTAGTGTTTCTGTTCTACCTCCTATCGTTGCATAGGGCCTGGGGTCTGGGTCATAAAAGCTTGGGAGTGGCCATCTAAGGCACAGTAGTTGGTCTCTATTCACCTGGAGCAACAGAGGAAGGAGAGTCGGGTATAGAGGGAGGATATGAAATGTTTGGCTAATTGCCTCCATGAACAACTACCTCATTTGCCATGAGACCAGAAGAACTGGATAGTGCCCAGCTACCATCGCTGAATAGTTTGATCAAAGAGTGCCTAGAAGAATCTTGATCAAAAGACTGAAAATTCAGAACAGAGTTGTAAATACTCATTCGCTCCAGACTTTCTGGAGCCATGGAGGCTGTATGAACCCCTGAAACTATTGCCCTAAGATAATCTTTAAATATCCACTGAAGCCTTCTTAAAGCCAAACAATCGTGTAGTTTAACTAGTCTAGAATGCCTGCATTTGAGCATTCTGCTCTTTTAAGAACCATCTGTATGGAATCAGATTGACAAAAGCAATTGGAAAGATTAGATAGGAATCTTAGGGGGCAGTGAGCTTATGTTAATGGGGGACCAAGGACTCGGAAAAGGAGGGTGAGAATGTTTACACAACTCGAAGTATGTAATCGGTGTCACCAAATGGTACATGTAGAAACTGGTGGATTGGTGTATGTTCTGCTGTATATATTGTCAACGATAATGAAATAAAATTTAGAAAAATGAGAACACACACAGAAAAATAATGCACCTTTAAACATCAGTGAAGTTTGCTTGTGGCACATACTGCCACTTTCCCTGTTTCATCAGTGTGGCTTCTGGATTTGCATGTTGTACACGTTAAGTTGACAGCTGCATAATCTCGGAATACATTCTTCAATGATGAATGCCAATATTTTATGATGACATCCCAGGAATTCAATTGCAGCTGCCTACTGATATGAGTGGTATCTTTATTATTTGACAAGCCAGCCAGACGTATTAAGTACATTTGTTGAAAGTGCCAGCTGCTAAAAGGATGTATGCCTGCTTTATTATAGTGAAAGGAACTCTGGTGATACAGTGGCTTAGCATTTGGCTGCTAACCAAAAGGTTGGTGGTTCTAACCCACCAGACACTCAGTGGGAAAAGATGAGGCAGTCTGCTTCCATAAAGATTTTCAGCCTTGAAAACCCTATGAGCTAGTTCTACACTGTCTTATAGGGTCCCTATGAGTTGGAATGGACACGATGGCAGTGGATTTTGTTTGGTTTGGGTTATATTACAGTGGAGAGTTGCAAACAATCCACATTTCCATTTATGGGGGAATGGTTTATTAAATTATGATGCAGCCATAACTATCTACCACCATCTGACAGTTTGTCATACTGCAGTGGCTTGCATGTTGTTGTGATGCTGGAAGCTGTGCCACTAGTATTTTAAGTTCCTGCAGGGTCACCCACTATGGACAGGTTTCAGCGGAGCTTCCAGACTAAGACAGACTGGGAAGAAAGGCGTGGGGGTCTGTTTCTGAAAATCAGCCAGTGGATCACAACAGAACATCGCCCAATATAGAGCTGGAAGATGAGAGCCCTAGGTTGGAAGGCAGTCAAAATACATAGTGGCCGCAACAATGGACGCGAGTATCCCAACAGCGGTGAAGAATGTGCAGGACTGGGCAACGTTTCTTTCTGTTGTACATGTGACTGCTGTGAGTTGGAGTCAACTCAATGAATGGTAACTAACAATAAATACTATGGGATGCTGTCCAACCCCCCAAAATAAGTAGCTTTGAGCCTCCTGGAATGTGTTAAGCTTCCCATCAAGTGCTATATAAGCATCTTCTGAGTTAATTTTCACAACAGTTTCTCAGATTACTCCCAGTTTACAGAATAAGACACTGAGACTTGTCCAAAGGCAAACAGTCGATGGTGCAGCAACAGTTAAAACTGAGTTCTGTAGACCCGAAATCCATTTCCTTCTCCAGTTACACTCTACTCGCTGGTGATCTGATAGATGTACTGTTGACTCTCCTCTCTTGGGGATTTAATTCCAAATGGACATTGATTTGCAAAGACATGGTGCCTAGGAAGAGACTAATGTCCTAGTCATCATATCCAAATGTCAAAAGGAAATTTGCAAATGAGGTGTAAGTTTCCTGTTCTTTCTGTAGACAGAAACAGAATTTAAGAGCATGATTCAAGACTCTAGTTATATGTGCTATCAAATTCCAGGATTTTCAAGTATTGTCTGTGAGAAATGTCAAGTTATGAGCAAAGTAACTGAGAAATCATACTGTTGTTCAAATGTAGTTAATGATAATTAATAATATCTGTACGCTTGTTCTTAAAACATCTTATTCTTTTAATATTTGCAGATGGACAGAAGAGAAAGAAATCTTTGAGGAAGAAACTGGATTCCCTAGGAAAGGAGAAAAACAAAGACAAAGGTAAAGGACCAGATGAACTAAAGGGAATTCATCTTCCATGGAGCATAATGGTTGAACTTGGTGGAGTTTTTGAATTGTATAGATTTACATGGTTCAACTCTGTTATGTAAACTGAGTTGCTATGATGGAATGTCATTAAGGGCTGCTTTGGTCTGCTCTTATGTGTTTGAATGGCCTTGTACTGAATTGATGAGTTCAACTAGTTTGCTCAGGGTGTGATTTCAGCCAATTGTATGGTTCCAATTATGATTCTGGTCAATCAGCTATGCATAAAGTGAACCTGGGTTGAGTAGCCATGGACGGGATCTCTAACGCTAACCAGTTGTTTGGCAAATCCAGACCATTTAGGCAGGGCTGAGTGAGTGTGAGAGTTTGGTTTCGCCTACCATGCCTACTGGAAAGAAAATAGCTCAAGCTTATGGGTTACTGAAGATGGGCCATTGTCAGTATTTTTCTATTAGATTACAGAAGGTTCACGGTTTTTTGTTTTCACTTTTGTTGTGGTGAAAACATACATAACAAGGCATTCACCAACATAACGACTTTTACAGCTGAGGGACATTGATGGCATTTTTCATGTCATGTCACCATTATTGCTGTCCTTTTCCAAAATATGCCACCACCACTGGCATAAATTCAAACAAAACCTTCCCC